TACGCACACTGGATTCGCGAAATCTCTAATCCCTGCGATTCAGATAAAAAAAATTTGCAACTTTAGTTGCCGTTGGTCGGCGCCAGTGTCTCGCACGAAAAACAGTGTTTGGCCGAAAGCGAAATTTTTGCTATGTTGTTTAAATTATTTATTTAAATGAAAGCGCACATTCTTTCAAAGGAGCTTGTGTTACGAATAACATTATTTAATTATCGCTTGAATAATTACAACTTTGCAATATTGCCTACTTTATTCAACTAAGCATGACATTACGACATACAGCAAAAATGCTTTTCCGAAATTAAGCGTCTAAAATAGAGAACACATGCTTTTGTGACGGTTCACGAGAGTAATCTCAACCCATACACCTCATCCTAATACTGCTAGGACGCCATTACTTCGCGACTGCTCAATCCCCCGCAACAGCGAATGCAGAAATGTTGTAAACGTTTCTCTGCCGTTGGTCGGCGCTAGTGTCGCGTATGAAGAATTAATCTATGACGCCGAGGGAAATATAACGAATAACGATCTAAACTAGATGGCACACATGCTCTCGGAGCATTTAATATAAAGCATAATATAACATCGCTAATGCAGCACGAGCAGTTTTCGTACAATGGTAACAACTGTAGCCGAAACGAACCGCAGTAAGATAACTGCACGTCATTGATTTTTTTCTAACCAGCGAGAATGCCAAGATTTTCCAGCACAATTAAATAATTAGAAAAACAATTGTACAATTAACCCCGTCACCACCGCACTGCCGCATCACTGCCGTCTCTCATACAGTATATCGTCTGACTGTCTCCATGAATGAACGTTTCTCTCATTACACTTAAATCTTTACTTTCGACTGCTCAATATCTTTCTTTCTCTCTTTCTCTTTCTCTCTCTCTGTCTGTCTCTCTCTCTTTCTCTCTCTCGCCCTCTCTGAGTCTCTCTGTCTCTCTCTCTCTCTCTCTCTCTCTCTCTCTTTCTCTCTGTCTGTCTCTCTCTTTCTCTCTCTCTCTCTCTGTTTGTCTCTCTCTCTCTCTCTTTCTCCCTCTGTCTCTCTCTCTCCCTCTCCCTCTCTCTGTCGCTCTCTCTCTGTTTCTTTCTCTCTCTCGTGCTTGCTCTCTTTCTTTTTCTCTCTCTCTCTCTCTCTCTCTCTCTTTTGCTCCCTTTCTCTTTCACTTTCTCACTCACTCTCTCTCACACACACTCTCTCTCTCTCTCTCTCTCTCTCTCTCTCTCTCTCTCTCTCTCTCGCGCGCTCTCTCTGTCTCTCTCTCTCTCTCTCTCTTTCTTTCTT